GTTAATACTTGGGTTTTAACTTAAAGCTTAAGAGTGTTCTATTATTACAAGAATATACAAGACTAACATCTTATCAAGTTGGCTAAATTTTGGTGGATACTTCTAAACAGCTTCTTTCTTGGAGCTTAAAACAATCTTCATCAACTTCCTAACTGGCAAAAGGAACCAAAGTCTTCAAAGGTTGTTTTACTTTGTTCTTATTTGGTTATTTTTAATCTTTCTAATTTCTTGTAAAATTATCTGGTTCAAAATTAAAGTCTTCCATTTCCATCTTTGTGTTTATGAAACAATTTTAAAATAAAAACCCAACACCATAGTCGAGTGAAAAAATTTAAAATTGTGGGTTTCGAGACAATCTCTTTCTAACTTTACAACATGGTTCGGTATTAAAGAAGGGAAATTGCATAAAGAAGTCATCTAAGTCATGTAATACCCAGTGTAATTTGTCTATGGCATCAATTTCACGACCCATGACATATAAATGATCACATAAGGATTTAAACTTCTAACAATAATCAGACATAAATTGATCGCATTTGTGAAGGTATTAATTGAAGCTCATCTTTGAGTTGGATTCCACGCGTTTTGGATGCATGACTGAAAGTCACTTAAAGGATGGACCATAGTTGGTGAGAGTTGTGACAAGAAACAAAAACATCCACAACTTCGGGTGTAAGAGAGACTTGTAGAAAGGTTTGAATCCACAGATCTGATCACACCCACTCCATGTATTTTAGATTGGAATTGTATGGTAGACTTTTGGGAGGAGGCTAGGTCATGCAATCACAAAATTAAAGGGTTTTTTTATTCAACCGAATTAAACAGTTGATGAAATCTACTTTATGATTACTCAATAGATGGACCATACTATTGCAGGACAAAAATCATCAGTTCCATGAGAATATTTGGTAAAGTTGTGACACACGAGGCTGCGGTCACGAGGACTAGTGAGGTTTTAAAAAACAAAATCATCATGTTATATCATATGAGGATTTTAATTAATATGTATCACAATATGATGTTGTATATCAGAAAAAAATATACAAGAAATCACACCGAAAAATAAAATTAAGAATTATATCGATTAGTTGCGAATAATAAATCCATTTATTATTAATCGTTACCAAGTTCCGTCCAGAAACTGGATGGATCTTTAATGATCAGATTTGATTACAGGAAAGGTAAAAGAAAGACCGTTCTGTTATCGGACGAAATTAAAAGACAAAACAGTAAAATAAAACCAACCTCATAGTTGTTGATATCGAGTCGTGTAAGACTGCACGGAGAAGCTCATCTCCTTAAAGGTTTTTACGTAGCTCTAAAGTTGTAATATTCCGTGTAAACACCCGAGATTTGGGGCAGAATATCACTCATTCCAACGACTTTGTAAGAAGAGATGACGCAAAGTGATTACTCAAAAATCCAGAAGAAACTGGATTTTACAGTTGCAAAAATCACAAAAAGCGCGTGCGCGCGCGAGAGAGAGAGAGAGAGAGAGAGAGAGAGAGAGAGAGAGAGAGAGAGAGAGAGAGAGAGAG